ATGCCTCCCTAAGGCTCAACAGAACTCAGTTCTCCCCCAGTAAATCGCCCGGCGCCTACTGAGTGGTGTCGTTTTCCCGCTACGAACCAGACTGGTAGGCGATGGGGCGATGGTTCGAAGAACCTTGACGCGCCTTGTGCAGGGGGCAACCGTTCCGCGGGTGACGGGTGTCTCCACAGACAAAACACCGTCGTGTGTTTGCGTGCTGCCGGGCAGCTCGGAGCTCTGCTCCCTCGTCCTCAGCATATGGTCATTGGCCCGCTCGACGAGTTGTTGGAGTGTGCATTCCAACCATGTCGTGCCGACTTGAAATTGAATTCGGCATTCAGTGCCACATTCGCCGCTTCTTCAAACGAGGACGGATGCACACGGAAGACTTCCATTCTGGCCGCGCCAGTGGGGAGGCCTTCCATAAAGACGGTCACTGTGACCGCCTCCGGAAGGATCACAGCTGCCATCACGGCAATGAGAGTGCGCATCTCTAGGACAAAGTCCACCAACTCGTTATTGTCGTGTCGGGCGGCAAGGAAACTTGATCGCACGCGATATGCCTGATTAGGGGGCGAGAACACTCGTGAGAACTGCAATTTAGCTCCGCTCAGGAGGTAAACGCAGCTTCGATCGAAGTGCCGCACGTCAGTGCCCATTCTCGCGCTCGACCACCAACCTCTGAGATGGCTAGCGCTACGCGCTGTTGCTCGGTCTGGAGCATGGCAGATGCGACGGCCATCTCGACCTCTCTCACCCAAAGCAGGAGATTCTCTCCATCCCTCCCCTTAAAGACCTGAACGCTCACCATTAGCGGCTTAGGGCGAAGAAAATCATCCGTCACCGACGTTGGCGTCATAGACGCAAATGATGCAGACACCTTCTGCTGCAAGCGCTCTAGCAGCGCGTTTTCGTAAGTTGAAAACGCCTCTAGACGCGCACCGATTGCCTCGGGACCTTGCGCTACAAGGTGTTGCACGCACTCAGGGACATCAGCTTGTTAAGCCCGTCCTGCATGCCCTGGGGCAAAGAGGAAAGTTCCTCCATCCTCACAGGGGATCAGTCTAAACGACTCAGGTGTAGACTGACTACAAGTGCTACCAAGTGCAGCTGGGCTGCCGTAGCTTAGCGCTTGAAGAAGCGTAATTTAGGTCACCGACCTTTCGCTTTATACTTAGAACAAGTACGAGTTAGCGGATCGTATCCGCTTACTCCAAGAGTAATTATTTCCTTCCCAAGGCTAATTGACTCTTCGTTTTAAATCCAAAACTGATTTTTATTTTTTTTATCCTTATTTTAAAAATATAGATTTTCCTAAATATACTAAATATGTATAGTAAAATCTAAATACATGCATAACTACTGGCCACCTAACCACATACCGAATTCTTGTTCGGGTGCAGTCACACGATGCACATCTCTTGTGACACATACCCCTGCTACCAGGGTACGTGTAACCCCGTTACAAAGTAGCTCTCCTGGAGTAGGTGAAACCCTGGGAGCAAAAAAGCTACATTCACTATGCACCAGAGGAAGCGCTCCAGCGCTCGGCAGTCGTATGATACTAATAACAATCAATAATTTTTTTTATCGATATAGGCCATACAATTGACATTCCCCAGGTTTTGGGAGATACGAAGTCGTATAGAGTGACCGCTAGTGGTCACTCAGGAAGTGTGTCGACAGATCAAATGGTGCCCACAACTGGCCACTTTCAAACGAATCGTTGCTGGGCATGGGGATTTGCCCAACGGAAAAAATCGTGAGCGAGTGGTGCCGGTTGTTGTTGTTGCCTCTCTTAAGTTGGAAGAATATTGTCAAATAATTTAAGCAATGTTGTCCTTTAAAATAAATTGAATTTGTGAAAACAATTTTACTATAACGAGCTGTGCAGACTGCCCTTAAGGCAAAAAGGAATGGCCAGCCTCAAGCGCCCCGCTGAGGCCGATGGCGCCGATCAAGGTACGTTAGATTAATTTTTATGTTCTTGACAACACATGCCCACGATAAGCTTGCGGTGATACCAGTGTGCAAATTGACAAGGAAACAGCGTCGACGCGAGCGCAACCAGGTTCAATTCAACTCTAAGTCTCTTGACATGCGAGCGAATGCCTTGACCCATCTGATTTATCGTAAAAATCGCAGACACCGGCAGAAAAGCTTGAGTATCAGTACCGTACCAAAGTGCAGCGTTGTGCTCAGCAAAATGATGCATTCCGAGCGCTTGAAGTATATGAACAGATGAAGAGCGAGGGTGTGAAGATTGCCCCATATATCTACAATGTCGTAATTAATATATGCAGCAAGGCTGATGATCCAGCGGTCTACAAATCTGGAGCTCACAAGGTATACCAAGATATGAAGCAGGCAAAAACTATCACCCAACAGAAGAAAAATGCAGACTCAGGAGAGCCCATATATAGTGCAATGATTAAACTCTGCAGCAAGGCACAGGATTTTCAAATGTGTGAAACAATTATTTCCGAGATGGAGGCCGCGAAAGTATTGCCCAGACTTCGAACTTTTAGCCCGCTTTTGCAGGCACTTAGTGATGTAGGCAACTTAGAGAAATGCATTTGGGTGCACAAGAAACTACTTTCACACCAAGTTGAGCTGACAGAAGATGATTACGTGGCGCTGCTGCGTGCATGTGTGAAGACTGGCAACGCCGAGCACTTTTACGCGTTTTTGAACAGATTTATTGACGAGATTTGGCAGCCTACCCTGAGCACCTGGAAAGTTTTGACCGACTGGTTTACCAGGTACGTTTTAAAACTCAATGGAGTGTGAAACACTTGTGGAGATGAGAAGGATTCTAAAATAAACACATCACAGTGAAGCAGCGCAGGTTAGCGGGCGCAAGTGGAAGATCACTGAAGGAACAGTGAGCAGTGACGGCCTGTGTTCTGTGACGGGTGACCAGTTACAATCAGTAGAGCTGTCGACGGAGCTGATGACGGAGTTGCTGGCAAAGGTGCGAGGACGTTTCAATGTCGGGAATGGAACATCCCACAAACCGATATCGAGTCTTCACGGAGACTCAAGACTGACATTTGTTTCAAACTTATTCGTAAGATAGATTGAAAATCTTGTGCGCACAGATGAGGAGCGTATGGCGCAATGGGATGAGTTTAAGCAGTGGCTCGAGGAGTTTGGGCCGTTCGATGTGGTCATTGACGCTGCCAACGTGGGTTTCTGCAACCAGAACTTTGATGGGTGCGTGCGTACACGATTGACGCAATGTTTAAAAAAATAGACAACAAGTGTGGCTATGTTTGAAGCTGTGCATCGACTAACTTGAACTCGTCACTCTATCCCAAGCAGCGGCGGCTTTAATTATGCGCAGATTGAACATATGCTGCAGCACTACGAGGCGCAAGACAAAAAAGTTCTGATCGTGCTCCACAAGCGCCGCATCTCAGACGAACAGGTGCCCGTCAATTACCGAGCGCGAATCGCACAATGGCGCCAGCACCACAAGATGTTTAATTGCCAACCTGGAAATAATGACGACTGGTACTGGCTCTATGCAGCTGTGAAGCTTGGTGGACGCACACTTATGGTCTCTAATGACGAAATGCGTGACCATCATTTTCAAATGATCCACAACCGAGCTTTTCGTCGATGGAAAGAGCGCCACCAAGTGCGTTACCAAGTGCACGGTAGTCGCTTAACGGTTGATGAACCGCTGCCGTATTCGGCGCGTCCACAGCGTGTTGGCGACAACTGGCACTTTCCTTTAGCTGATACAGCAGTCAACGATTGTAGCACCGTCGAGACTGCCTCTTCAAAAGTCGCTGATCGCAAATGGCTGTGTATTGAATTGACGTTGTCCGACTAGAAATGCATCAAAGATAGAAATGGTCTACTCAGTAGTCAGTTTCTTATCAATAAAGTTAATATTGAGATTGCTGTGTATGCGGACTTCGGGCTTCATAGGAAACGCAGTAGAATCTTGATGAGTTGCCAAGTGAAGGGACATTTACGAATAATGACATGAATAATACGAAATCATGTAGTCGTGAAATAGCTAAAAAATACCACGTCGCAATTTGTGATATATATACTTCCTTTCCATGAAGAGATCAGAATGTGCACAGTTAAAGGTGCCTGCGATACGACATATTACAAAGGGACACGAGAGAACCGGCAGTCTGTTTTTTATTACGTCATGCTTGTCACTTAGATGGCCGTGAGCATTTTCAGGCCGCACAAACATTCATTATATAAGTGATAGGCTTTATGTGCGCTCTTATCTCGTCCTAATGTTTTACTGACAAATATCTCTAAGTTATAGATAAATGTACTGTAATAGCCACTTCCTAGCTATATCTCAAGTATAGCAATTTTTAAGAGTAGCTCTTCTAACACCTGATTTAGATACCACGTACACTGCAGCATGCTACGGCAATAATGTTTGAAGAATTGATGAGATCTGCAAACATTGTGTCAGTAACACCTCCTTAACAATTGATAGTATAGTGCACATAACAGTTTCTTGTTTCCAGTCGTAAAATGATTGCGACAACCAACAAAAGTTACGTATTCTATAGGCTTTCCTCGTGTCAACTTGAACGAGCAAAGTGCTAGTATGACTAACACCGAGGCACACTTGAACTATGTTTCACCTAATGATGTTCAATCCCTTCGTGTTTTTCAAAGATTAAAAGATCTGTCAATTAGTAATTTCCTAGTGTGCGTGACGTTCGGGGGTTCTATCAGTACTGAAATAAGGATCATTAACATTGTGCGTTACAACTCAATTCCAGATAACATAGTTTTTTTATTTAGAACTCACTGAAAATGATGAGGACAGGAGCGATTGCTCATAGTATTGCCAACAGCATACCTTTCACTACTTTTTCTTTCGCGACTCAATCAAATTGCTACAGGCAATAATAACCTTTGTCAATAGTCCTAACAGAATTTAGAAACCGGATTCATGGCATCGACATCCACTCTGATGGGAACAAGAAAAGGTATGAAATCAGATGACTGAGCTCTCGAGGGGAAAAATTACATACAATGACGACTTTTAAAGCCGTCGTAGCTGAAAAAGTTTTCACGTTGTTGTTGGTGTAAAAAAGCTATCCATTCTATTCAAGCAACATGTCCGCATCGTTTGCAATGAACAGAGCAGTGATACAGATAAACATCATAACGCAGTTTCACAACTTTTAGAAGTCTCTTCTTAGCCTTTACGATCGCCAAGTTATATTTTGTCTATTCATGGCCTTTACGATCCCGACCGTCCCTTTTATCTATAGCACACGACCAGATTATCGCAGCATCGAAGCCATACAAAGCTTAAGCGAAACATCCGATTTGGACAGCGCAGACTGCCTCTCTCCAGAAGGAAATTGCAGACAGGCCAAATTTTGCTCTTTCGGTCAGAACACAACATACTAAAGCTAAGTGTCTTTTGCGGGGTAGGGACGTGACATGACGAGCGAAAGGGGGAGTACTGTTCGCTTTACTTTCTGCATTTCCAAACCGACTGCGACCTCTTCTCAGCTGCGTCACTGTGGGCGAATAGAGGGAGGCGTTCTCCATA